CTATTTGCTTGAATACTTAACCACTAAATCGTGCGTATGTCTCTTCAAGAGTGATACGAAGCATGGCCTTGGCTTCATCCTTAGTGTAGGATGTAACGTCACTTGTGAATTCGTTAGCATACCAGGTTTTGGTTTTACCTAGACTAACATATTCTTTACTCGAATTGTTGAAGCAAAGGTCATTAAGATAGAACAAGTTGTCAATAATGTAAGAATGTGGCAAACTAGTGAAAAGGTTGCTGAAGTCTGCGGTGTATAGGTGTTCGATAGCCTTACCTAGTGTAGTGAGCTTTTGAAGTACTGTTAGCGAATTGGTGGTGCTAAAATAAACGGGCCGTCCATTGCGTGTAGCTGTTTGGATACAGTAACTGCGGAAATGAGTTTTAAAGTGAACTAACAGGCGATGCATAGTAATAGCGAGACTTCAGAGGGATGATTTATTTGCCGCCGCTATGAATCTATGTCCATAGGGGTTCTTATGGAGCTTCGGAACAGCATAAATGGAGGGTATGGAAGTATCATCAGCAGTGGCGAGAAGTTGAAATTTACTTAAAATTTTATGGTGTTCGGTGCGCAGTTGTTCAATGGAAACGATACCGGCCTGTATACACTATTCCCTTGGATGCAACTAGGTGTGATACCGAGTTCATTGCAGTGCAGCAAAGCATAGTACTTTTTATTGCACACAATTATGTAGTTATTCGACGCCTTGTCAACAGAGGTTATGACAAATCGTTTGTGCGCCTCACGCAATGCTCTGTCAAAACCAATGTTGACTAAATTAGACGGAAAGTAACGACTGGCGGGTTCTCCAACGTGCTACAGCTAATATCCTATTTTTGAAGTTGTCATACTGAGGAATCATGGTACCTGTACGTCTTGCCGTAACAGAGATAAAGGTGTCCAAGGTATTGGAAATATCGGTTATAATTTCGTCTGCGATTTTAATTGTAGGTAATCTGAATTTAGTACCTTTCTTCATAACTTCTCTTAGTTGCCGGTTACGGATTATGTCTAGGTTTCCCGCAACAATGTGACCAACGGGTTCGTAGAGGTAAGCTGAATGCGCGCATTGATACGGTGAAGATAATAAGTCAGCAACCTCCGCAGGTCTATCATTTAGACATCTGAGAAAGTTGGTATAGTTCATAATGCGACAGCTCATAGGATTTTAATATGTGAGACTGACAGTGATACGAAGAAACGGATGTTTAGGAAATAAACGTCTCGCCAAAGTGTCATGAAAGATAGTACGAAGATTAAGATTGAAGAATACGTTTCCCGGATAAGGAATAGTGAAGCAGGAAACATCACGACTTGGACGTGCAGAAGTTTTAAGCCGGAAAAGTAAGAATCTTTGTAGAAGTTTGCAAATGGCAGTACCTCAGTAGAAACACGTTGACGAAGCATCCTAAGAGTTCTGTTGTTGTAA